TAGACTCTCTTTCCTTTTGATATTTTCCATGTTTCATTCCCTCCTCCTGGACTGAATACTTCAAACAGATGGCATTGTTCATTCAAAATAGTCAAAAAAACACAAGTTATTGTCAAAAGAAGGGCCTTGATTTTGATAGATGGCCCTGGTTGATGGATGACCTTGTTTTCCAAGCCCATTCCATATGTTGTGTGGGAAAGTTAGCTCCTTTGCAGGTGGGAATGGTACTCTATTTCCCTATTCTACTTTGCTTTTTACTTTCTCCTTCCTGCCTAGCCCCTTATTATCTCCTCAATTTTCAGCTTTTTTTTTTTTTTTTTTTTTTTTTGGTCATAGCTCTTCTTGCCTTCTCTCAGACCTTATTTTGTTAGCCACTTGTTTTATTTCCTACATTTAAGCATCTCTACTCTTTGCTCTTCTTAGCCTACTAAGATGGTAAAGCATCTTCTGTGCATTCTCTCTTCCACTTGAATTTTAAATATTCCTGCAGAATCCATCTGGTCTTGCTTTTCTTATTTGTACAGTTCCAATGCCAATAAGTTCATCTTTGTATTCTCCAGTATCTAATATTCAGCTATGTCCTATTAGGGTTTCACTGCTGTGAGGAGACACCATGACCACTACAACTCTTATAAAGGAGATTTATAATTTGGTCTTGGTTACAGTTTTAGGGGTTTATTAGGTTTTCTTCATGGTGGAGAGTATAGTAGCATCCAGGCACACTTGGTGCTGGAGAAGGAGCTGATGGTTCTATACTTGATCCTGAGGCAGCAGAAAAGGACTGTGTCACACTGGTTCACCTTGAGTATATAAGATGTCAAAACCAGGTCTCTACAGTGACACACTTTCTCTAATAAGACCACAATTCCTCTAATAAGGCCACATGTCCTACAGCCACTCTCTGTGGCCAAGCATTCAAACACATGAATCTTTGGTGCCATACCTAATCAAACCACCACAAGCTAACTCAGTCTATTGGCGTTATCACTTTTGGCAGAAGTATTTGTCAAGATTCAAATCAGAATACATACAAAGAGGTGTTTTTTGTTTTTTTAAATGTATGTATGCATACATTTGACCGTTTTTATTGGTAAGGAAATTTATATTATGCCAAAATTATTGATTTTGAATAGGAGGAATGTTTATTCAGACACCTTAGAACTTCATCTTTCTGTTCACTTCATAGAAAATTATTACCAGTACTACTTTTCCTAGTTCCTTTCCTTTGTTCATTGTTATACTGTCTTTTGAGTTTACCACTCTATAGGTCCTACTGTATCTGGTTAACAAGTATTCCAAACTCAGCCTTCACCTTACATGACTTGTCCTTTGAAAGACAATCTCTCTTCCATAAATTGTTTTACCTTATTGCTCAGATACCACACACTCTTCCATGTTCTTTTACTTCCTGATACTCTTCTGGCTGGTATGCCAAAAAGCTCTTGTCCTTGGCACAAGTAGTTTGTTCTCTTTTCACAGAGTGCCTACCTGCTAATATCCACAAAATAAACACCTTTACAATGTCACATGATTTCTAACAAACACACTGAAAAGTAAGAAGCCTTTCTTCCTGTTTCTGCTCTTCAAAATCTTAACCATTATTGAACACTATATTTAGTTATATGGCTCATGGCTAAACCTATATCTTCCCATTTACATACATACTGTATAAAGGGAAGTTTTTTTGAGTGTGTTTTTCTCAACAATGGCCTCTAGTACTTAAAACTACTACCAGTATAAACATATAGTGGGGTAGTTTGAATAAGAATGGCCTCCATAGGCTCACATATTTGAATGTTTGTTTCCAAGGTGGTGGAACTGTTTAGAAAGGGTTAGGAGATATGACATTGTTGAAGGAGATGTGTCACTGGGAACAGAGTTGGTGGTTTCAAGAGCACATGCCAGGCTAAGTTTCATGTTCTTTCTGCTCCTATCTTGTGAATCAGATGTAATCTCTCAACACCATGCCTGCCTGCTGATATACTCCCTACCAAGATGACCACAGACCAATTCTCTGAAAGTGTAAATAAGCACCAATTAAATGTTTTTCTTGTTGTCAAGCTGACTTAATCATTGTGTCTCATCACAGAAATAAAACACTAAGAAAGACAGAAATTAATACCAGAGAATGGCATATTACTTTGATAGGCCTGATCATGCTGCTTGTTAGCAGAATGTGGACTTTGTGGATTTATATTAGGAAAGTGGTTGAATGCCATAAATGGGGCTTAATGGGCCATACTAGTATCAACTTAGAATACAGCATTGCAATGTGGCCTATGGATGACAAACTCAAGAGGGGATTAATAGTAAAAACCCAATATTGTAGTATTTTGGCAAATAATGTGGCTGCTTTCTGTCCTTGTTGAAAAAAGTATAAAAATGGAAGAGTTTTAAATTAAAATCATTGGCAGAGGAGATTTCAAGACATCCTAGTATTGACTATGTGACTTGTTTATTAGTGATCATTCTTATGTGGATCTACAATGAAAAAGAGGAAACTTGACAAAGGGAAATAAAATATATGTTTGAAGAGAAAAAGACCATCAGACAATGTAGTATTGAAGCCAAGCCCTGAGCTCAAGGAGATGAGAGGTTAAAAGAAAAGCCTGATGCTAAATGGAATAAAAGAAGTGAGATCCTCATTCATGACCCCACCCAGCTAAGCTTCCAACTTGTGAAAAGCAAAGCTTACTCAACAAAGGAAATCATCTCAAAGTCAAAACTTATAAAAATATAAGTTATGGAAAGAGCCAGGTTTCAGCCCATTAATTAGTAGAACTTATGCTTTTGCCTAATACCCTGGCCCTCTTTCTTTCCCTCCATAATATATATTCTACAGTTTTTTCTTTTCCTTTTATTTCATGTATATGAATTTTACTGTTTATTCTTTTTGCTTTTTTGTCTTCATGTATGTCTGTGCATCACATATATGTAGTGGCCTTGGAAGGTATCAGGTACCTTGGTACTTGAGTTACCAGATGGTTGTGAGCCACTCATTGTGTGGGTACTTGGACTCGAACCTAGGTCATCTGGAAGCTGAGTCAGTGAGTCACTGAGTCAGAATCTTAACTGCTGAGCCATTTTTCCAACATGATTTTTTTTCTCTGAACCTGGGCAATATCTGATACACATAAATGGCATAATAGACTCTTTCGAAGAGAATAAACAAATAAAGGTATGGTATTAGAATAAATAATAGTTTCTGGGAATTAGAACTAGAAGTTGCTATTAAAAAGATGACCACTGGAACTATTTTACTGTTTCTTTGATCAGAGTTGGACGATGGTAGCTGCTTTGTCTTGCTTGTGTTTTGCTTCATAAAACAAAAAAAAATTCTCATTTTAGATGAGTCAACAACCACTATTGATTTTAAGACTGATTATTTGGTGCGGAACATAATTACAAAGGATTTTTCTCATTGTAACATCTTGACAGTTGCCCACAGATTATATTGTTTCATTGATTCATGCAGGAACATCTTCTTTCTTGGTAAAAACAAAACAATTTCTTGAAGATTGCTATTGAAGATATGGAATACAATAAATATTTACCACCGGGCAGAGATTTTAGCCTATGTACAAAGTTAGATGTTCTCCCCAAAGGTATAGAAAACGCTTGTCAAAATAATTAGAGGAATATTTTAATGGTAAAGAAATGCTAGAAAAATCTGTTTTTTGCATTAAGTAGTTTTTGTATCTTGAGCTGGAATAATTAATGTGGCAGTTTAAACCTTCTCTTTGTAAGGGTTAAATGGAAAATCAATTACAGTTTATTCAACTCAATGCTCTTTACATCCCAGGGTGCTTGTTCTAGACTCTAGTAGAATTATGGAATTCAAGGTGCCACAGAATTTGGTTAGCCACAAAGGACTGTTCTTTTAAATTACAACAGAAATCAAAATAGCAATACTCAGGGACAAAGAAATGAGTATGTTTAGATGTATGTTGCCTTTCCTGAATGACATGGATATAGTGCATTAATATTAAAAAAATAATGGCAGTGAGAGATGTTCAGAAGCAGGCCTCTGGCTATGAGGTGTTTACAGTCATTCTAGTCGTTGAAGTTTGGTCTATTGCTATGTATCGTGGCAAGTTATAACTGACAGGGAAGTAGACAAAAATAGCTTAAAGGGTTGATATCTGCCCAGCTCTAGTACTCTTAAGGCTTAATATAAATATAAAGGCTTTGTGCCTTTTATCTGAGAACTGAATGGTCAAAGGTGAGGTAGAATTATTATTATTATTTTACTTTAACACTAACCTGGTTAGCTTAGTTTGTATGTTACTAGCAGTCTTTGTAGCATATAACCAAGCACTTCAGATTCATATGCTGTAAACACCTATGTACACATGTGCTGAGCAACTGTCAAACTTATAAGATGATGGGGACTCATAGTAGTAAGCCCTTGAGCAGCTTTGATTATGGTCCCAAATTAACTGAACATTATCACTGGCGTATCTACTACTACCCTTTAAGTAAAATTATACTCCATTATATTAAAGTTCCGACTTGATCAGTCTAAGTGAGATAGTGTCAGTATACACTCAGGAGAAAATTGTTGAGTTGTACCTCTATCATGTTTTGGATATAATTATATTTTAATGAGTCACTTTTTTTTCCTGTGGTAGAAGCAATATTATATGTCTTTGCTCTTAAGATATGAAGTGTTCAACCTTAATGGTATTTTTTTTCTTCCAGAAATTTATTAATGAATTATTTTACAGTAATTCTATCAACTCCTTTTTTCATTTCCCCTTTCTCCTTCCTAACCAATCTTCTATATGGCACTTGGAAGTCATAAGCGGGTATCCAAAGCCCTGGACTAGAGTTACTGATGTAACTAGTTACAGATGATTATGAGCTACTATGTGGAGCTGGGAATTGAACCAGTGTCTTCTTCAAGAACATGTGCTCTAAAACACAGAGCTATCCATTCAGGCTCCAGGATTTTATTTTTATGACATAATAAAATGAATTTCTTAAGACAGAAAACATTTTTTTTGTCCAAAAGAATAACACAGATTTTATTAGAAAATTATGAAACATTAAGTGTCAACTGAAAGATGACGGTTGGGGGTATGCAGGCTCATTAACTGGGTGGATCACGTCAGCATTTGACTCCACTGGTTACAAGCCATAGCTTGTTAATCAGAGTTTTAAAGAAACTGTTCACATAGAACTAGCTCTTCTAAATTAGAACTATGCAGAAAACGTAGCAGTAATGCCAGGAGACATATAGGATGCAGGAAGATGTGACATTTCTGAAAGGAAACCACTTGCTAGGGAACATCTGTAAGCACCACATCAGCTCTCTCTCTTTTTGGATTTATATACATCAAAAATATACTCCAAGCTAGTCATGGGTGGAAAATAAAGTATACAATTTAAAAGCAAAACTGCAAATGGTATGCGTTTACAGCAAAATATGAATTACCTGTACACACATATTTAAGAGGCACAATCTGTTCTATACAGTAACTGTCATATTGAATTCATATTATACACAGTGGTATCTGGTGGTTTGATTGAAAACACAGTACCAAAACATTGATACAAAATAAATTACATATTATTTAGTATTTTTTAAGTTACATACTTTAAAAAAAAGCTTTAGCCAAATGTACAACTAAAAAGCACATTTTATGGAAAATGATCTCAGATTCTTACAAATGGCCCACTTCAGAATTCATTTGTACCTTTTAAATAAACGATACTGGTGTCAGGATTAGGTACACATAACTCTACTATATGACTGAAGACCATTTCCTTCATGTTTTTATCATTGTAACTACTAGAGAAGAGGATGCTAACTACTTAGCCCCACCTCCAACACTACCATTCTGGGTTTTTTTTTTTTTTCATAAAAATTATTTACCTTCCCATTTTAGTATTATTTATCTGCTCCATTCCGCAAAATGTTTTTGTTCATGTTTTGAGTTCTGTCAGATATCTGGTAAATTCAAGTTTGCTGCTGATAATCCTCAACGGCCTACATGAGAATTCAAAGCACATGTGGAGACGGTAGCACATTTGAGACTTAAATACTCAAGTCTCAAACACGGTCACAGATGTTTTTCAATCTAAAAATTAGACAGTCACAGTCCTGAGGACTTCCAGAATGCTGTGAAGGGCTCGTCTTTGGCATTTCTCCATTAGTTCTAAAATAAAGCACGGCAGTTTATGTTTTTTCTATCTACCTGATGCACATGCTTTGATAGATGAAAATGACTTGTTTAACTGCAATTTCACAACTGAGCAAAACAAAAATATATTTTATAAAGCTGCAACAAAAACCCAAACCAAACCAAATAAACCCACCACCTTTCAGCATTACACTCTGGGAAGATGAAGTGCTCAATCTTATTCAAAGTTTTAGCTCTCTTCTTCAGTTATTACAACACTGATAAACAGAATATACTTTATATGAATATGATAGCAAGGATATAATTCTTGTACTAAAGCAAAATAAAGAAAAAAAAACATATATCTTCCAATAACATGGCCACCACAAAGTCAACATACAGAATTTTCTTCACTGGTCCTTGTGGCCATCTGGCTTGCTTCCCCCTCCCCCCAGCCCCCCACCACCCTGTATCTCATTTTTTAAGATAGGGCCTGGATCTCACTAAGTTGCCTAAGTTGGTCTAGAACTTCCTAAGTAGCTCAGATAGGCCTTGAAGTTGTTGTAGGCCCCTTGCCTCAGTTTCTAGAGTAGCTGGATTATAGTCTTGCACTTCTAGGTTTGGCCCTGAGAAAAGGGGAAACAGCCTAACTAAAACCAAAGAGCTGCTACAAATATTTGATCTATGCAATGGTCTTAGATAGCAGAAACAAACAGAGAGAGTAATACAGCTTTATTGTGACATCAACATGTTGAAAAGGCAACTGATAACTCCCTACTGTCCTCTTATTCATACGAAGCAGAAATGTGAAAATACAAGCAGAAAATGTCAGCCTGAAGATAAAAGGACTAGACTATAGACTGGGCATATCTACTATCTGGCAGAAAGAAATCTGAATAAATCTTTAGCTATTTTGGGAAGAAAAACTGGTCTTTCAAATATATTAAAATCTGTAGATTAGGTGAATGTAACATGTAAAAAGATAGTGGATTTCTCAAAGTACAAATTTCATGGCAGTTGATGAATACTCTCTATGCAGTTTCATAATACTGCTAACTCCCAGCCAACGTAAATACCTGACACAACAGTCCTTCAAGTATAGACTAAATTAAGAGTTGTATGTAATAACCAAATAAAGAAATTATCAGCCCCTACTAATAAAATTCAGTAAGAACTTGGGCCTCAGAGTTGGCACTGAAGTTTCCAGACTAGTAAGTGTTAATGGCCACCTACTTCCAGAATCCAGGAAAGTTTTACTAAACATTGTTACTTTAGAAATACTGAGTTTGTTTGTTTGTTTGGTTTTTTTTTAACAAACTCCAACAAGACTCATCTGGTCATATTCGATTCTAAAACAAAACACTATGTAAAGCTGTCCTGTATAAATGTCCTCTCGGGAATCCGTGAGTAACTTCATGGACTTCTTTTCTGGAGAAGGTTCACATGGAAATCAGTAACACCACTAGACAAGATCAGTTAGCAGCACGCCCTCAGAGTTCAGTTGAAGTTGGTTTTCTGTAAATGCTTATTGGGAATTTCTAAAGCACTAACTTGGAGAGGCCAGGAGCCCCCATCAATCCCAGCTTGAATGGCCACTCCGGTTACCACAGCCAGGTCAGGGTCTACAGACGTGTTTGGGTCCTTTCCAAAGAACTCCTGAATAACTTGGCGGATCCGAGGAATACGCGTAGAACCCCCAACTAGAACCACCTCGTCAATTTCAGTCTTGTCTAAGTGGCCTTCCTTCAATACTTGCTGAATGGGTACAAGTATTTTCTGAAAAAGATCTTCATTGAGTGTATCAAAGAGTTTGCGGGATATTTTTGTTTCAAATAAAACCTGACTTTCTCCACTCTTGCTTTCAGAAAGGCCATGTCTAAACACTCTGTTTACATGGTGACCATCCCCTGGGGTTAGCTGGTCTTTTGGCAGTTCAGAGTCACCATTCTGAGGTTTCTGGCTGTCCTTTTCCTCTACAGTGAGTAAAACTGATACCTGGGCAGACTGATGTAGCGTCAAGTTTAGCTTGACCATTTCTACCGCTTGTCTTAATCTGTGGATTTCCTCTTTCCTGGAAGGAAGAAAGCCATACGTTTGATAGATCTCTTTATATAAATACTGAAGCAGCCTCTGATTGAAGTCTTGCCCTCCAAGTTTGTTGTTTCCTAAAAAAAATGAAATAAAAAATTTATGTCATATATATATGCATATAAATATAAATAAGCTCTGTATGTTACCATGTTCTAAGGATAACAAGTCCTGTACTATATTAAGACTTTATTAATGTAACTATTGACAGAAAAAGACCCATGTTAAAGCCATTTTAACCTAAATGGTAAGGGCAGATGGTTACTTACTTCCAGATTCTAGAAACTGTCTTATCTTAACTATTATTATTGCTATTATTATTTCTATTTCTATCCTCTACTATTGATAATCAGTGCCTAGCAGGGCTTGAAATTCTAAATGATCTAGAAGGGAATATCTCAATTACATCAAGTAATTTCTGACAAACACAGAAGAATGAAGTCAGCATCTATTTGAAACACTACCTCATTTTCTCAACAGGAGAAAGTAATTTTTATGATTAACATGTACCAATAATATATATTTTATCTTATTGTTAATGATTAAAACAGATGATATAACTGAACGTCTTCATTTTGACACTTGCTTCCCTTATCTTCCCTTTAACCATCATCAAGAAAGCTCTAAAGGAACTAACTTATCTGACTTACAGGAAGTCCAGCCATTCTATTTTGATAGTTCACTTTGATATGTACATAGACAGAAGCAACAATATACAGAAAATCACAAAATATTCTGAAAACAAAACCAACATCCTACATGCTAGGCATACTGAGGGAAATGCACCTGAACCTCTTTAATTCTGCACTTTTCTTACCAGACATTGCTCGTGTTAGAAACATCCCTCCTTGTTTATTTAGTAATGACACATCAAGAGTTCCTCCTCCCAAGTCTATGACCAACACGTAGAAGACATCAACCTTGTGGAGACCATAGGCCATAGCTGCTGCTGTTGGTTCGTTTATCACCCTCAAGATCTTCAGTCCTGAAAGAACATGAGAGGAAACAGTTTCTACTCAACTTGTAATAACAACATGCTAGTTTCTTCTTTAATGTGAATTTCACCCAGCAGTGAAAAAAATGGGAAAAATCCCGTATTATGAAAAATGCAAGTTCTTTTCACTGATATAACTAAAATTATTCTTGAAGAGTACACCATAACAAAAGAAAAGCCTAAGTTTAGTATCTTGATATTTTATTAACAATTGAAAAACATCTCTTCCAGCCTTTTCTAATATTGATAATCTACTTGGAAATACATAGTTGTGGAAATGTGGTAAGCTGATCTTGAGTAAAAGACCACATTACCTTGAGTAAGATTCCTGCTTTGAACTAACTTCCCCACGTAGAGTGGTGTACAAGATGTGAGGTTATACCTCAGGAGCCACACCAGCATTTGAAACTGAAGATTCCCCCATGGCCTATATTGCCCTTCCTTTGGTTATCAAACTTCTTGCTCTTCTCTGGTCACGTGCAGGGTCCTAGTGTCACGTGGTTGGAGAGTCAGAGACTTAGGAGTCACTGTTTCAGGGAGGCGTACCTGATCATTCTATAAGCCACCTCTAGCTCTGATTACCCTCTGGGCCTCCATTCTTCCACTCATGCAACTTTCTGATAAAGACTGTACCAGCAGCTCTGAACAAGAGGTGATTGATCCTCTTGAAGCCAATGGTACGAAGGACACTGCTGATTGCTCTCCATTACAAGGGACATACAGCTATTATTACTGAAGACTAGGATAAGTATAGGAAGTTCCCATAGTAAAATGTTACATGTTATGTGCATAGTATGTGTACTCCATGCTTCTATCTAGTTGAATACAGCACCACAAAAGCAGGATTCATAGAACAGGTTACATCCTTTTCACTTTGGAAAGTCTGGAAACACTTCACCTGAACAACGAAGAGATCGTATCTTCTATCAGAAGTACAGCAGTACTCATGTTCTCTCCCACTCTTTGTCATATGCCTGATTAGCTGAACTTTTTTTTTTTTTTTCTAACATGCTTTGAGGATGGTTGTGTTCTGGAAGAGTGAACCTAGGCTGGGCCTGACCTGCTCTAGAGAAGTTATCTATCAGAGAGTTACAGCTCCATCCCTACACTGCTTTTTCTCCCTAATATAAGCATTTAATGTTGTACCAGAGTTTATCATCACACATCTCCATAAACAGAAATCTAACTCATCTACCATATAGTTTGTATGCCTACAGAGGATTTAGAAAAGATTTTGCACGTCAGTCAGGGGTGCTATTACCAGCCAGGTTGGCAGCTTGGATGGTTGAATTTCTTTGTTGTAGGTCAAACTCTGCTGGCACAGAAATGACAGCGTTGGCGACTGGCATGCCCAGATATTCCTCTGCCATCTCCTTTAGCTTCAGCAGCAGTCGGGAGCCCACATACTCTGGAGAAACGATGATGGTTTCGTTACTTGTCACAGAAAACTCAGCCATTCCATTTTTGTGTAAAACCTGTGAATAAGATTAAAAAAACAAGAATGTAAAGATATGTATGTATACACAAAACTACAATTACTTTGACATGTACATATTGGATCGACTCAACAAAAACCTTTAAAAAAATTAAAAAAACAAAAAACAAAAAAACAAACCCTCACTATCATCTATCTGTTCAGTACCCTTTTCAATATTAGAATTCACTGAATGTGATAATTAAAAAGTTATAAAATAAATCTATCTTACAGATTTCAGTAATATCCAAGAATTTAACAGAAGCCTAGAATATTCTTATTACATACTCATTGAAAGAATGAATTAACTCTATGTTTCAAGACTCTCAGTGGACAACTTTTCACTTATACAAAGTACTTTAAAACTTCTCATCAACATACACAAGTAGTCATCACCACTAATACTGCATTTTGGGGCCATTTCTTTGTAGTATCGTCTTAATGACAGCACTACAGTGCCTGCAACACCTGATACCCAGGACGGCTGCTGAGTGAGTAAAGCCAAGAGAATACAGTGAACAACAACAGGATGGTCCACACGCTGGGGAAGACTGGGAAGCACAGTGAAGGATTTCATCACTCTTCCTAAGCAATCTACATATTGGTCATTTATGGGAGTTTGCATTTTATACTCATGGTCATTGAGAACCAGAAACTAAAATCACGGAAAGAAAACTACAGAAAATCAGATCATAAAGGAGGCAACACTTTATTCAATAAGTCATGATGATACAACTACCTAGGGAGTGTAATACATGTAGACTCAGTAGACCACTTCATAACTTAGAAGAAAAGTCCCACATAGGATAAGCAAAAACAAAGATAAAATGTTTTTTAAAAAGCCACTGAAAAATAAATGCATAAAAGCATTAAGATGGAAAACCAAAAGAAAAAAAAAGCAAAAAACCAAGCCAGTGCAAAGGGTCAAAGTTCATACTAATTACTATAGGAATCAAAGCCACTTTTCTATAATTGAGATTTCATGAATGTCTAATACTTTGAAAGAAACAACAAATTATACACCATAGAGATGATAAAGTGAAAAAAAAAAAGAAAATAACAAAAACACATATAGAAAGTACTACAGTCATTAAAGAAAAGAGAAAAATGTCAAATCAGGACAAAGAAGAAGAAATGCAGAGGCAATCAGGTCTTTGTGAGTTCTAGGCCAGAGAAGTCTACAAATTTAGTTCCTGAATTAAACAATCAATCAACCAACAGAATTTTTAAAAGAATGAAAAAATACCACTAAATATAACTCCTGGAAAGAAAAGGAAAGACTTTTAATACAAAATGGCATTTTTCACTTGTGGACTGTCGAACATAAAATAAATTGGACCAGATGGCACAGGCTGACTTGTCAAGAGGCTGATGCTTTATGGTTCAATGACTGCCTGGGCTATGGAGCCAGACTTACCTCAATAAGTAAAGAAAATCATACTACCTGCTGAAGATACAGATACTTCAAAAAGGAAATGTTAAGAGCATGGAGCCGTTCTGATCTGGGAATATAAATAAAATTCCTTAAAAACACAAACCAGAGTGACCTTGAGATTCCACCTTATATCAATCAGAATGGCTTATATCACTCAAGTGACAGCAGATGCTGGCAAGGATGTGGAGAAAGAGGAACATTCCTCCATAGCTGGTGGGTTTGCAAGCTGGTACAATCACTCTGGAAATCAATCTTTAAAAAATTGTTAATAGTTCTACCTGAAGATCCAGTTATACCACTCCTGGGCATATACCCAAAAGATGCTCCAACATATAACAGGGACATGTAGTCCACTTTATTTACAGCAGCCTTATTTATAATAACCAGAAGCTGGAAACAACCCAGATGTCCTTCAATTGAGGAATGGAAACAGAAAATGTCATACATTTACACAATGGAATACTACTTAACTATTAAAAACGAAGACATCATTAACTTTGCAGGCAAATGGATGGAACTAGAAAATATCATCCGGGGTGAAGTAAGCCAGACCCAAAAGAACATAAATGGTATTTACTCACTGATAAGTGGACATTAGTCAAAAAGTACAAAATACTCAGGATATAACCCACAGACCATAAAAAGTTCAACAAGCAGGAAGGCCCAAATGAGGATGCTTCAGTCCCACTTAGAAGGGTAATAAAATAATCATGGGAGGCAGAGCGAGGGAGAGAACTGGGTAGGAGAGGGAAGGGGACAGGTAAAGGGGAACAGGATCAGGGGTGTGTGTGGGGAGGAGACGGGAGAGAAGCCAAGAGGACCAAAAGAATGAATGGAATTATGCAGCCTTTGGGGGTGAGAGTGAGTGGGGGAACCCTCTAGAAAGTCTCAGATACTTGGGAGGTAAGAGACTCTCAGGACTCAATGGGAGTGACCTCAGCCAAAATACCCAACAGTGGGGAAAGGGAACTTGAAGAGTTCCCTCCAGTAGAAAGACAGGGCCACAAGTGGAGGAACAGGGTTACTAATCCAGTCAAAATTTCTGTTCCAAACTGTTCCTGTCTAAAAGAAATGCGGGGCCAAAAATGGAGGAGAGACTGAAGGAAAGGCTCTCCAGTGACTGGCCCAATTTGGGATTATCTCATGGAGGCCACCAAGGCCTGACACTATTACTGATGCTATGATGTGCTTACAGACAAGAGCCTAGAACGGCTCTCCTCTGCCCTACTAGCAGATGACTGAGACAGATGCAGATACTTACACCCAACCATTGGACTGAAGTCAGGGACCCCTATGGAGGAATTAGAGGAAGGACTGAAGAAGCAGAAGAGACGGGCAACCCCACTGGAAGATCAGCAGTCTCAACTAACCTGGACCCCTGGGAGCTCCTAGAGACTGAGTCAGCAACAAGGAAGCATACATGAGCTAGTCTGAGGCCCCAGTGGCACATATGTAATAAAAGATTGCCTGCTCTGTCGTCAGTGGGAGAAGATGTGCCTAATCCTGAAGAGACTTGAGGCCTCAGGGAAGGGGGATGCCCGGCGGGGAGGGGAGCACCCTCTCGGAGGCAAGGGGGAGGGGGAATGGGTTGAGGAACTGTGGGAGGGGAGATCTGGAGGGGGTGCAATGGCTGGAACATAAATAAATAAAATGATTTTAAAAAACCCACACATACATATATCCAACTCAAAATTATACAACACAGGCAATTTCTGACAAAGATATATGTATATATGTGTGTATGTACATATATATATATATATTGAACTTCAAAAATTAATGTGAAACTAGCAAAACATAAGAGATTGTTTTGAGATAGATTAATTATGTAAGAAAATAGCAGTTCAGCCATTAAAGCTAGTGAGGTGCATGTACTAGATGTGTGTGACCTACTGAGGCACTTCAAATAAGCCAGAAAACACGAAAGTAAGTGTATAAATGTTGTATGCATACAAAAATGCAGATACATAGAGAATATCTATTCACAGTATACGGGGCTTCAGCATCCTTCCTAAAATATCTTGAAAGAACTAACTGGCTTTTGTGATGACGGCGGAATGAGTGCACAGTGAGGCGCCATTTCCTGACCAGGTAGCACCAGGAAGCCACTGAACTGATTCACCCTGCAGGCTGCTGTGGAATTTCTTACTTGAGAGAATATAACTCCCTGACATATACAGCCAGCAGGAATGAAATGATTCCAATGGTGAAGCCGAAGCATGAATGGAAATAGTGCAGTTAAATTAAATGGACACAGATTTTAGATTAATTTCATACCTTAAACGGGTATCTGCCAACTTCAGCCTCCAGCTCCTCAGGGGTGAAGATCTTACCTATGAACCGTTTAGCATCGTATATTGTGTTTTGAGGGTTTGAATCTGCCAGCTCTAAGCTTTCGTAGCCCACATACACATCGCCATCAGTGAAGGACACCATGCTGGGGATGCTGATATGCCCGTTTTCATCTGGAATCACCTTTACTTTTCCTGTCCCAGGAAAAAATACACCAACCGAACAGTAGGTGGTACCCAGGTCAATGCCAATCACTTTTGGAGTAGGCAGTGGTAAATACTGTTGTGCCAAGTAGCCAGCCAACAGGAGAGTCAAAACAGCTGAACCTGAAAAAAGTAAAAGATATGTTTTTATGATGCTACTACCATATACTGTACCTATAGCAACATCCCCTTAATAACACTTTTGAAACAAAGCATAAAATATTTTACTTTATAGAATTAATAACTATTTCTTTTGGACATCAAGTGTTTAACATTCCATTTGGCTACAATTAAAAATAAAGGAGAAAAAAATTCTCCAAACCCAAAAGCCCTCACAACCGTATGTTTGTATAATTCATTACATGAGGATAAAGGAATAAAATGTAGATATTTAAGTAACAATTATGCTGTTGTTGAATGAAAGTATCATAAATGTGAAGCCAAAACTGACACAATCCAGTTTTCTTATCTCATTGCTATTTAGAATGATAGCTTCATAAACAGTTTCACCCATTATTACTAAAATGAAATGCCATTATGAAATTCTCACAAAAAAAAAGCTTTTTCTCACAGCGAAAGCTTTGGCACGTAAGACTCAACTCTTTGATTATCATCTTTACCCATTCAAAAGGATGAAATACATAAGTTGGATGTGCTGATCTGAAAACTGCTTAGGTGTTACTGTTACCTCATAGCAGAGTCCCCATAAGAGTTTTCACATATTTAAGCAAGATTAAGGATATACCTCTCAAAGAGGTAGTAGTTAGGGAAGAAATATACCAGTGCTAACCCTGATAGCAACAATATGTAAGCTTCCCGAAGGCAAGTTCTATTCACCATTGTATGGCCCATCAAGAGCAGAGGCTCAGCAAATATCATAGGGAAAAGATCATATATAAACATCATGCATATTGTACACAAACACGAATAAGGATATCACTTTGAGTTTAGAATTAATATCTTACTTGGTTTCACTACTCTGTGTTATACACCTGTTCCCACTCATCCATGCTAAAACCCAGAATTTCAGTCTGCAGTGCTGTTGGCAATTGTTAGCTCCTTCAAATCAATCCCTGATGTATCATAGCAGATCAAGAACCTACCTATCCACTTGTCTTTTCCAACATACAGACAAATCTCAAAAGCGTCTATCACGTTTTGGCAAGGGAATGTGATTCCCAAAAGGCATGTTCGAAAGAGAATCCAGCTACAAATGAACAGGGACCAGAATCCCTCCCAATTCGGCATCCCAAGTGAAGCCAAGAGTCTTCATCTCGAGATCCTCTTATTTATTCACAGTGGGTTCTAGCACAGAGAACTGATTTCAGCTACCAATTCAAGACCGAGATCTTCTGCATTCCTAGGCCCTCATCCTTCAGACCTGTGGCTGATGGCAGAACCCCCAAGAAGCCTCCAGCAGCCAGACCCCGGCTCCAGGCGCCCCGCCCCCACCAGCTCCCAACAGCCTTAGCCCCCTTTTCAGGTTCCCTTCGGCTGTGTGACCTGTGATTCAGAGAGTGACACAACCAACCCCTGCACACCCAGACCACTTCAAACCGCCTCATCGACTGCCATAGCAGCAGGGACCCCCTGAGATACTGACCTAAGATCGTCATCTCTCCGGCCATCAGTCCCGCCGAACAGGCAGAAGGATGACTGTACCGACGGGAGGCGCCACCCCCTAGCCGCCGGCTGGCCCGCAGCCTCCTGGGAAATATAGTCCGTCGGCTCCGAGGTAGTAGGAGGAACTACGACTCCCACCACAGCAAAGACTCCATCTACCATGAGGCCGCGGGGCGGATTCCACTCAAGCCAGTGAGGAAAGACTCGGCCTCCCCACGGAAGAAGAACCAGCAAACCAGGCTTTGCTGTGGGAACAGCCTCTGGGAAAGCCCAGAGTTTGTCATTCATTAAATTCGAAAAGCCGCGAGCCTACATGCCGTAAAAACAGTCCCTGTAGCCCCGCCTCACCGCGTTGTATTGTGGGAGATGCAGTTCTGGACTGTCCAGAGCTTGGAAGGCATAAGGAGGATAAAACCAATTAAGAATCTGAGGTGGGTTGCATTGCGAGGCTGGCGCGGGATTCAAACTTCCTTTTTTATTTTTATTCTTTTTTTTTGTTTCTTTCATTGTTCACCCTCCTTTTTAAGGCTTATGCCTTTGGTCGAAATCAAGATTCTCGATAGACTTCTCCTAAGCCCTCCAAAGTCCCCTTTGCATTCCGCAGTGGGGCAGTCCTACAGGAGATTGGTCTGGTGTGCCTGCTCTTTGCATTGTAAACATCTCTCCAATCCTTAAAAGCATCGCCAGCCCGGTGCTGTTAAAATTATTTCACGGGCTCTTTAGGAATGAGGTCTATCCAAGACGGCACGGTTTATTCAAGATATATTTCAATCTAATACTAACATTCAAATATGCTGTTACAAACAATATGAAACAATACACTCTACTTCTCGTGTTAATTATGTCATAAATGCCCAGAATTGTCTTCCTGGACAGCTCATTTCACATGTGTTGATGATCGATCCTATTACTTTCTTCTTGCTGCTATGAAGTACTTAGTGAAGCAATTTGAGGAAGACAAAATTTATTTTGGCTCGAAGTTCGATGGTACAGTTCGTCATAGCAAGAAAGTCACGGAGGCAAGACCCTTGGCCAGCTGTTCCCAATGCATCCAGTCAGGAAGCAGAGAGAAGAAATGCAGGCATTTCTCTCTTTTTTAGTTTAGCCTGCTGGGTGGAATAGTAGCACCCATAGTTAGGCGAGGTCTTTTCATCTCAATTAATCAGGTCAGAAACTCCCTCATATACATGCCCGGAAGTTTACTTCCATGATGATTCTGAATCCCAGCAAGTCGAAAAGATTAACCACAGTTATTGAGGATATTTGTGCTTTTTAGTATATAACACCTGATTTTTTTTTCTTCACTGTTTTAACATTTGATATGACTTAAGGACTCTTTCTGAACGTGACTTTACTATTACTATTGGGAAAGTTCAGGAACACTTAAGGTTCTAGAAACTTTAATCAGCTTCTCTGTCTGTGACGCAAATCAAGTAGTCCCAACTGACAACAGGTCTGCTCATTTTGGGAATAAACCTCTACTGGCTTTGTACTTGTGTAAAATCTTGTATCTATGATCTTTCTAGCTATCTATGTACTTTATCTATGATATATTGGTCTATATCTATCTGTCATCTATCTACCTATCTACAGATAGATTATCACACATATGTATATAATGATTTTAAATCTGAATTATGGCTAATAGAGGCCCATTATAATACACTTTTGTGTTTTTAAATGCCTTGTTATGTGAAATATGAAAAGCATGTGAATATATGACTATTAATTGCCAAAATTTTTACGAAGACTGAAGAAAGCATAATTCAAACATCCAGTTGATGATTTCTTATGGGTAATGATAATTTGAATAAATATTATTGAACAGTTACTGTGTGTTTAGCACAATGGTGGCCACTGTCAACAATAAAGAAGAGAGAAAAGGTAAATTCAGAAATTTAATTTAGCATTCTGTGAGCCATAAGAATAGTATGACAACTGGGAAGTAAAAAGATTGGAGAAAGCCTATATAGATTTACCTTGAAGAGAAGTTCCAGTATTTGAGAGTGTTTTGGTATTTTTGTTTGTTTGTTTGTTTTTGAAATGTGAGAGTCAAAGTATAAATTGATGAGAAGATAGGAAATAGCCAGGTGTTAGTAATCAAGCTAAAGGTAGCCCACTTGCCTATAGTATAGAAGCAGACAGGTATTGGATTCACCAGCCATGGGACCAGTATCAAGAGGATTAGTGATACTGCTCATTGCAATTCCCACTGCCCACAGTGCTTTTGTCATTTGAAAGAGAAATGTCTCCTACTGGCTCATGTAGTTAAGACACTTGGTACTGTTGCTGCTATTTGGGGGAAGTTAGAGCAGTTTTAGGATGTGGAGACTTTTTGGAGGAAGTCCATCGCTGGGAAGCAGGCTTTCAGGGTTTGTAGCTTGACTGCACTTGGTATGGGTTTTTAGCTTCCTGCACTGGTGGCCTGTTGCCATGTCTCTCCTGCCAATACGAATATCTAGCTTTCCGGAACTATAAGCAAGCCAATGTAAAGGTTTTCTTGAGTTGCTGAGGTGGTTTGAGGTTAACGATGTAAGCCGTCAGTTACTCTGACACCATACTTTACTGGACTGTCTTGGATTCTAAGCCTCTGAAACAGTAAGCGAAAGTAAACACTTTCTTTTATAAGTTGCCTTAGTTAGGGTTTCATCAAAGCAATAGAAAAGTAGCTAAGATACTCCCTTTCAGTTGACCATTTTAATCACAGCAATGAGTAGGTAGTTAGTATATACCCTTTCCTTTTGCAGTTTTCATTTAATGTGCAACCATAAACACCATCATCTCAGAGTAGAAAAGCCTTACTCTCCGAAAAGAATATAGCATGCCATACACAGGTTATTTTCATTGTTTGCTATTGCCTTAACAAAGTGTCTTAAAACTAATTTTACTATTGTACAATTATGTAGGTCAGAAATTTGGTATATGCTTTCCTGGATCATAGTTCTGCAATGATGCTACTCTTATTTTAAATCATAGAGTTGTAGGTACTTTTGTTGTATATCAGACTATTTTTCCTCCTGGCCCCAAGCTCCAGGAATAATACTCAGAATCAAAATGTATTTACAGCTACAACCATGTGGCCCTACTACATTTGTTAAAGAAAATGTTTTATTCTTTTTGAGTTTTTTTTTTATGGTAATAGAAAAGAGAAATGTAATTGTTAGTGGGCTCATTTCAATGAAAGTAATCTACAGTAATAACATACAATTTATATATACATATATACATATATATATATATATATATATATATATATGTATATATATATATATATAATTAGCTGTCCTTTTCCTAAAACTTACCTTCAGCAACGTTTCAGACAGTATAAGCTTACTTCAGTGCTGTCTACTTGAAGGATTTCAAGACTTAGCAATGTGTTGTTTTATTCTTGAAGATGATGAGCTCAAAGACCTAATGAAATAGACTGATGTCCTAATTTATTCTTTTATTGATGTGGATTTTTTTCTAAATTTTAGGACATCTGAAAACATTTTTTTTATATTGCCTATTGTAGAAAGTTTAGGCTGCACAATAAAGAAAACTCTGAAACTAACCAGCTTCCTTTTGTCTTGTATTCTCTTGATTTTTCTCTAGCACAGATAGATATAGCATACCTACATATTTTATCAGCAGAAATGTGCTTAGAGCATATATAATACATATTTTCCTGTAGTTTATAATAATTTTTTGCATGTTTATTATTTATCATATTCAAATAACAGATTTAATAGAATATTATAATTCAATGCTTATTTTTCTTCTTCAATGTTTAACTAGTTTATTAGTATTTATTGATTAATCTTCCTTTCTTATTAGTCTAATAGCTTATTTTGGTTTTGATTTCTTTAATAATTTTTGCTTGTTTTCTTTTTGCTTTTTTGTTTGGTCTTTTGTTTTGTCTATTTTTTGTTTTGTTTTTAAAACAATGCTACTCACCTAGTCACTCCTATGATCAGCCTAGTAGAGCAACTATTACAGGTGTGAACATCCACAACCAAACTCTCACTGATTGGTTTTTTAATTATCTTTTGAGATTATAATATAATTACATCATTTGCCCTTTCCCTTGGTTCCTTCCAAACTCTCCCACAGCCACCTCCTTATTATCTTTCAAATTCATGGACGTTTTTCATTAATTGTTGTTAAATACATACGTGTGTGTGTGTGTGTGTATGTGTGTGTGTTCCTAAATACATAAATACAGTATGTCCAGCTGTATAATGTTACTTGTCTCTGTTTTAATGCTGTATATGACACACACACACACACACACACACACACACACACACATATACATATATATATATGTATATATATATAATGTATGTATAATTCCGCCCTGTCCTGATGGTACAGGCTTGTAATTTTATCTACTCACAAATCAAAGTGGTAAGATTAGGAATTTGAGACCAAGTTGGCTACACAGAGTGAGTTCAAAGTCATCCAACACAATTTAGTAGGATCCAGTCACAGAATAACAATGAAAGAGGAATGTAACACCCTGGTAAGATGCCTCCCTCACATGTAGGATCCTCTAGGTTCAGTTCCCAGTATAGTAAGGAACCTAACAGGCAAAAACACACACTAAGGCATATAGATCTTTTCTTGATAGTTGTTTCGTCTGATTATTGTGGGTCAGTAACATACTGCTGTATCCTCGGGACTTTATCATAGACACTTATATCTGGATGGACAAAACTACTTAGTTTTTCTTTTAATATTTTTCTGCTTTCATCGATTTTTTTACACAATTTGCAAATCACGTTATTTCCTTTCCTTCTAAAATTATTGTAATTCCTTTAAAATTTAGACAAAACCATTTATGTCTATGGCTTGATAAGAGGGGAATGCACAGTATGACAGTAGTGGAATGTTCATCTAGGGAAACGGTATGTTTCTGTTTTAATGAGAATTTCTAAGTAGTTTTCTTCAATAGATGTTACATAATTTGTTACATTCATTAAGGTTCTCTAACACTTAGGGTACTGGGAATAAGTCTTTTTGAGGGGTACAGCGAACTTTATTGATGGTATTCAAGAGAGTAGGGTGGGCTCCC